AAGGAGCAAAGTTTCATGTAATGATATTCCTCTGATGAAGTAGTAGCAAGTTACTGTAAAATATTTTTAATGGAAGTGCTACTTCTCATTTTAAAAATATTTTTAAATGTAGACAGATGTCATTGGACAAATTTTAAGTAAAACAGAGTTCCTGTGAGATTTAAGCAGACTCAAGTGGTGCTAAGAGACAAAAGATAAAAGAAGATGCTCCAGGAAAACTCTTACCTGTTATTTTTATTAAAGAGGCCTCCTCATTTAAGCAGTAACATCTTTTCTTTTTCTCATCACGTTACATTTATGCTATCCACTTCATCTGTGTAGGTAGAATTAATTTTTTGTCTATTTTATCTGGTTATTACTGTTTTACTTTTTTGTCTTAAATTTAATGATTTCCATTATTTCTGTCTTATGAACCTGTGCACAAAGTATTGTTGTGAATTTTGGATAAGTTATCATTTCTGGTTCAAGAATGGAATTATCCATTTTACATTAACTCCTTAAAACATACTGATTAAAGCAGGCATTGGCAATGAGGCATTGTCTGCACCATACTACCTTCACAAACATCGATCAATGGTTGTTGGAGATGGAACCCTTCCAAATAATGAGCTGTAATGTAGGACAAGAATGCATTGGGCTCACACATGAAACAGAAACAAAAAGTATTGGAATGTTTGTTGTTTCTCCATCTACCAGTACACGATCAGCAGCTGAACTGGATATTCATTATAAAATGGCGTGGAAAGTTCTGTGTGCAGGAAACATGCATAATGTCCAACTCCAAGCCGATGCCGACTACTCCCTTCGGGTAGAGTTCATACACTGGCTGCTTGATGCCACACAGAATGATCACAGTTTCCTGCAACTTTTTTGTTCTGCTTTGAAAGAGAAGGCATGGTCAACATGCGCAATCTGAATTTATGGTAATCTGAAAATCTGCACAGCACTGTCTCGTCGAAAGTGCACCTCAAGTTCAGTATTTAGTATCTAGGGAGGGATTCTTCGAGTTCATCTTTTGGGATTGTACCTTCTGCTCGAATGCATCCCAATGGCACAAATTACCTTATTCTCTCTCCTATAGCATGTCATCCCGGATTTGATGCAGATAATACCAGCCACTGTGCACTAAAACATGGTTCATGCATGATGATGCACCTGCACATTTTGTAATTGCAGTGTGTAACCACCTTGATGGTATATATCCTGGGAAGTGGATTGGACATGACAGACCTGTTCTTTGGCATCCACGATCGCTGGATCTCAGTCCCGTGGATTTCTTTTGGGGCCACCTGAAATCGATTGTATATCAGACAGTCTGTAGATGCATTGAAGAATCTGACAGCGCGGATCGTCACTGCTTCAGCAGACATCGCCAGCACACCAGGTATCTTTAAACATGTCCAGCAATCCTTCATCCATTGATGTTGACTGTGCAACGAGCTTCGCGTCTCCTGTCTGACATTGAACTGTGATGCTTTGTAATTCTGCTTTATATCAAATAAATGTTTTTATACTTATTATTGTCCACTTTTGTTCAATTTGACATGCACCCTTCATAACTATTTTTGCAATTTTCTCCCACTAAACATGGTTTGTGACCCCACATTCTGTGGCAAATTTTCATCCTCTTGATGCCTACTATCACCCCTCTGAATTTGTTGATCAAATTCCAGAACGCCTTGCATATATGATTTAACCATGTTATAGAATAGCCTTTTTATTTACTTCTAAAAGAAGTAGTTTTTGTTTTGTATTGTTCAATTGGGTCTAGATCCCATGTTGCAATAGTCGCAGGACATATGGAATAAAAATTTAAACTTTTTTTTTTTTTTTTTAATTTGTGGCTATACTTTATTCGTGCTTAAATTGACACTTTAAATCATTAAATTTCTGTCTGCTGTGTGATGATTAGATAAAAATATTTTTGTGTGATAGCAGTTTTATGGAAGCACGAGATCATTGTAGAGTAGATCAGTTTATATTTTCTTCCTAGTTTAAAAATAAGTGATTGATTTTGCTGTAATTGTGTTTTTTAATTCAGTTTTAAATATGATATTTCATATTTTTATCTTAATATTACTTACTTTTATGCCTGCTTTATTTATGTGTATGAATAAAATATTTTTTATAAATTTATGTTGTTTTAAATTATAAACAATGTTCTTCATTCAAGTGTATTTTTAATGAAGGTAAGCTTCATGTCTTGTTTCAGAACAATAGTTCTTAAACCTTCTAATATTACTTAAATTTTCTAAAGTCTTTTGTGGACCCTTAGCAGTTTGTTAGTTAATAGTCAGATGTGTGAGTGTTTCAAATTATTATGATTTTGATTTCATTATAGCCTGTAAAAAAATCATCAAATCTACTTTTCTTTTTAAAAAAAATCTTTAAACGAAAACATTGACTTTATAAGATGAAGATGCATAATTATAATGCAGTGCTAAAATCAGGTAAAAAAGCAACCTTAGTTTGACATAAATTTTATATAAAGCTTGGATCTGTTTTGAAAGTTTTATTCAAAATCTGTGTCAAACTGAGGTTGCTGTTTCACTTAATTTTAATTTTGCATTTCCGTGTTACTCTACAGTTTGATATAATGCAATGATTCCATGTATATTGGTGGACATTCAAAGTGCACATATGAAGAACAGGAGATCGAAACCATATTTGGTGAATAAAGGTGATTTGATTAAAATTATAGCTCTATTTGGCTTGCAGAATATAAAGAAATCGGTATTTTGTGTAGTTGCCATAGCTTGCAAAAACTGCTGCAACGCACCTCAGAATTGAAGAAAAAGATCTTTGGATATGAATATTTGCTGTTTATTTTCACTCATTGCCAGAATTTGTCTGGATTGCCATAATTAATGTATTATGGCAATACGGCCACTTGTTTGCCAATCATTGACCAAATGTATATTCAGTAAGTGCTATAATTGGATTAGGCCAAGCCTTCAGTACAACCTATTGGGCTGTGAAAAATTATTGAATGTTGTATGTTACATGCAGTTGCACATTATCCTTTTGAAACTTGGCTACAGGCAAGCCTTGAAAATAAAGAAGGACCAGCAGAGTGTAAAACTTCAGATATGTATCAGTGGCTGTTGAGTATGGCAGCAATACTTATTGGCAGGTGCAGGAGTAAAATTTATCGTTATCTCAAAACATAACTCCAGGTAACAGGCTAGTATGAAAAAGCATAATGCAAGGATGACATCTGTTATTGTGGTGTTACCAGGCTCAGATATAACCATCATGATGTTATAGACAGAATCAAGATTCATCCAAAAAGAAAATGGCATTATATTTGTTCTGTCTAGCACTTAGTTCTCCATTGTTGCCATACAAGTCCATGGTAAAAGGTAGTAACTGTTGCAGACATCATTTAATCGTACGTGTTAATACAGATTGTTGTGCAACAGAGTCTCATTCTTGTGCTTACGTTCCATATTATTACTTTGCAGCCCTTATTGCCATGCTTGTCTCTCATTCCTTGGTCTCATCACTCTGGCTTGATTTTGTTCAACACAAAATGTTTCTCAGAAGGATAATCCACAGTTTTGATAAGCCCCATTTCTTCCTGTATTAAACTCAGACACTTGCTCAAAAGACTGTTCCTCCCATGGCATACTGAACATCCTGTGCAAAGGAAAATGGAAAACACTTAATTCCAGCATCAAACAACTTTTGTTACCCTTTTTATGTGGCATTACTGACACACATGATTTGCATGTGCACTGCCATACACATTATTTCCATGTCTTATCGAGGTCTGTGCATGATGCAGATTTCAAGCTTCTTTCATGATGTTGCATTTTGATGACAGGCAGTGTAACTTGCTTTCAAGAAGAACCTTTTCAGCTTTAGATTGAGTGGAAGAAGTCAAGCTGCTACTTCTTTTCTCTTCAGTATGCATTTGTGATCTTGCACACACACAAATACAAAAAAAAAAAAAAAAAAAAAAAAAAAAAATCAGTATTATTTGGATTTTGAACCAGGCTTATTCGTACATATTTTCAACATTAAGTTAGCTAAAGTATATCCAGGGACAAAGATGCAATACTAGCTTTTCCTGAAAAACAGAAGTAAATAAATAATGTTGTAATCATAATAACCGTTTTTTTAAGCTAATTTTGAGAACATTCAAAATTAAACTTGGAATTCTAATAATTGTTATAGTGAACTATAAATGATGAAAACATTTCCTTATCCTGTATTAAACAAATGTAGACACTTCCTTCTTAAAATGGTCACTGCATAAGTCTCTGGCAAATACGAAATGTACATGCTATGAATTAAACAATTAAATTTGCCAATTTGGCAGCTAAGTGAGGTGATTCCTTTAACTTTCGAAGACCAAAACGCCCAGATCGCCCTTCGTTCAAACAACCACAACTACCCGAAATGGCCAAAATAGCAATGTTATTTTCCTTCCTTCCCCTAAGTTATGCAGTAGCAGGTACAGTTTCTCCAAATGCATTGTATCAGTTTATTGCAGACAGCTTGTCCTAAAAGGATTTATTTGTGGTTTCTTATCTTTATATGTTAATGTGTAGAAAGGTTGTCATTTTAAATCTTCACATCTCTTTGTGCCTTTTATGGATGGGGAGGGGAGGAAACTGCTGTGAACCTCGAAAGGCATTTTGGGCACTTCAGTATTTCAAGCATAGATGTTAGCAAATGCTTCAGTTTTCAAAGAACTAATGAAGAAATACCCAAAAATATCAAACTAATGATTAAGTATTTGTTAAAAGGGCATTTGAAATTTTAAAACATTTTTAAACATGCGAACTTGCAATGTTTTAAGAGCCAATGATTTTCAGAAAGCATTAGCCGTTTACTGCAATAGAATTTATGCCAGAGGAAAGTATTCTGTATTATTTTTTTATGTTATTGATTCTTTTCACTCTTATTACTTTTAGTTTATATAATATCATGTGCTACACGTGGAATTTTCTAAAAACAATTAGAACTAAAAGTTTGGATATATTTAATTTTAGTGTTTTCCTAAATGGATGCCAGAAACGAAGAATACCGCCCACTCTTTGGTGGAGAGGTGACAGATAAACCTTTATTTGGTGTGTCAAACAAAAAGGTATACCCTTCGTAAAATTCTTTTTGGTCAGGTTTTGCATGATATGTATTTTTGAAATTTTTTCCTGCGTTTGAATTTTATTATTTGATAGTTTTGTTTGGTTATGCCATTTTTAATAGAAGTTGAAAAAACAAATTATTATGCCAATGAATAATTGGCTTAAATTTTTGGTATTCTAGCAGCTTTTTCACCAGCTGCCTAAAATAGTTATTATAAAAAGATATAAAATGAAATTATAATTAGTCCACCCAGTCTAAAAATGAATATCTTGCATTTTGCCAAATGGCTACGCACTACCACATGGAAGATAAAAATGTTTTACATCAAGCAGTGGCTGAACATTGCTTTTAAATAGTTGAGTTTGTTGAATTTGAAAGACAAATGAATAATCTAAACTTTGTTCTGTGGCAGCACAATTCTTTTAAATAAGTAAGTTTTTTGGTTAATTTGAAAGTAAAATGTTTGCTTCTATAGTTTGCCAAGTGGCAGCATGTTGTTTTTAAATTGCTGGGCTTGTTTATAAAAATTTCTGTAAGTTCACAAGATTTAAAATAAATAAAAAAGCAAATTTGAGCTTTGAGAGGCATATGTGTGGATGGAAGTAGGTTCAAAATTTGGTGCTTCTAGATGCCACCATCTTTCCACAATACGAGGGACAAGCATACTACATAAATACAGAATCTATATTATTTAATAATGGTAAATGACTTTGTTCCAAAGATTTTAATTGAATAGATTCAGTATATATTAAAATATAACAGATGATCACTTATTCTGGTATGTTGAATGTGTTGTATAACAAGATGGTCAATATTTTTTTAATGTCAAAATTATTGTGATATAGTGTTAAAAATTGAAGTGAGCAGGATAGTATTGATATCTGTTCAGAAACAAAATATTTTTATTTTAGAAATAAATAATGATAATGTGATTGCAAGTATTGTTATTTATATAGTATATTAATGTATGAAAAGTGCATAAATGTGAAACATGCATTGATTCATTACAAAGAATGCTTTTCTTTGAAATACTTCCAGAATTAGTTTGCAGTTTCAAAAGATTCTTTTTTAAACCAGTTACTGATTTTATATGCATCACAGCATTTATCTTAGAGCACTTACAATTTGGACCAATTGTGAGCACAGAACTTTTTATTATTTAATCTTATGACAGAGCAGGGAATCCTCTTTCTTTAAGTGAGTATAATCATCTTGCTTGTTGTAGTGACTGGCAACTCTGTCTGTCCTAACCAGTTGCCTCACTGGAATTTGCTATGTTTTATTTGGTGTTCGGATTGTTTATGATGAATATCGGCAAGAATTCATTCTTTCATATAAAGAATAGAGTTTAGTATTGTCGAATAACACCTGCAGCATCAATTGTCCAATTGACATTGACTCTATTATCCTGCTACAATTCATGATTTTCTTTAAGTGTGTTTTGTGATTGTTAAATTATTGAACTTTATCGAAAAATTGTACAAACACTATAAATCACTGGTCTGTAAGTTCAATTCTTGGTATATATACAACCATGTGAGTATTATTTTTATTTTTGCTTACCTGCTAGTGAGAAATATTCATACTATAAGTTCACTTTTATAAGTAATAACCAAAATCTTTTCACACCTTGCACAAAAAAAAAAGGGGGGGACAGTTCTATATTTCTCGTTCTACTGGACCAATTGTCCAAATTTAACTTGCATTTTCTACGTCTCGAAAGTATGACTTAGGATATATATTAGATTTATATATAACATTATTCTAACATAGGTATTTTGACAAAAAATTGGATGTTTTCTGAAATAACATACCAATTTTTTTCTGTATTTTAATTCGACGACTCAAATTATGCCTAGATATTAAATCTTGTAACTTTTAGAGAGAAATTTATGGAGAAATTTAAAAATTTATCTTGGTGCATTGTTTTTAGTTTGCACCAAGAATTATTCACTTGGCGAACTTCTTAATATATAGCTACCTATTTTCCTTTTTCCACTGTATGTGGGCAGAAGAAAGGTCATCATTCATACTTTCAAGTAATTTTAACAAAGTGCATAAAGCACATTTGGCATTATTATCGCTTATAATGGATATGCATTTGCCAAACTTCAAAACACAGCAAAATGTAAATTCACATATATCGTGGGAAATTTTGAATTAAAAAACTCTAATTTTTTGCTGGTATGCTTTGAAATACATCTACTTCAAGATGATGCTGAAAATTTTATGAGTTATGATTCAAAAATTTTATAAAAATTATTTAAAAATACAAATTTTAAAAATAAATCATAAAAAATGGGTGCATTTTGTTTGGAATGAACCTAAATTTCAAAATGTGAAGGCAAGAATTATATAAGTGCAATAAAGAAAGATATTAATAAATATATGCCAAATTCAATTAACGTGGAAGAGCTAATTTTTTAAAAACTACTTGTGCGATTTTTACAAAACTTGGCGTTTTGGTATAGTTTGAGTAGCAGATTTGAATTAGGGAGAAAAATTGGTATGTTATATCAGAAAAAGTCCAATTTTGTGTCAAAATACCTATGTTAGAACAATGCTATATATAAATTTAATATATATACTAAGTTGTGCTTTCAAGACCTGGGAAACGCAAGTTAAATTTCGACAATCAATCCAGCAGAGCGGGAAATATAGTAAATATAGTCTATAATATAGTCCCCTCCCTTTTTTTGGTGCAAGATGTACCTGTACTAATTAAATTAGGATATAGAGGTAATTCAATATATATTATATCTGAATAGTTAATATTATAATATGACTTTTATTCACAATTACACATCCGTTTTTTATAGAAATAATAGTTCAGTTACATAATTTAAACCCATAAATTTGTTAATAGTTACATAATTTTCATATCCATAATTTTAAAAACCTTAGTTTGCAGTGTAAATACATTGATGGACAGTCAAGATCAGTTGTTTGTTTGTAGTTAGGGGGTGGCGAATTTGGTCTACACCCAAGGCAGCTTCAAACCCACACTACTGTTCATAGTGTTTTCTTGGCTTACTATTACCGTATTTGACGGCATATAAGACACACTTTTTTTCCTAAATTTGGTCTCAAAAAAGTTACCTGCGTCTTATACGTGAAGGACACAGGTTAACTTTCAATAGCCCGGATTAAGGTCTAGACACACATAACTTTCTTTACATCTGCCGTAATTATTTTGCGCACAGTTGAACAGGTTCGACGGTCACATTTCGTCTATGGAGCCTTTCCTTCTTTACATAGACTTTCTTTGACTCAGCCAACACACGTGTCGGTATCAGTTCTACTCTGTATAAACGTGCTTAAAACTATTTATTTTAAAAAATTACCCTGGAAATATGACTACAGGAAACAAGAGATTAAGCTATACAATTCAATATAAACTAGGCGTGTTAAACTATGCCAAAGTGCATGGAAACACAGCAGCAGCAAGGCATTTCGGTCCACCACCTACCGAAAAAATGACACCTACTTGGCGACTGAAGGAAGATCAACTGAAGACTGCTATAAAACCAAAAACATAACCTTCGATACCCAGCTCCATCTTGACCTGAACTTGAAAATGCCGTAAAAATGTGGGTGAGAGATGAGAAGAAATCTGGGATAAGTGTTTCAACCAAAATGATAATCAGTGAGGCCAAAGGATTTGCAGAAAAACATGGAAATCGGAACTTTTTCAGGGTCTGAGGGCTGGTGCTACAGGTTCATGAAAATGCAAGGCTTATCAATGTGCAGAAAAACAACTATTGCACAGAAAATGCCAGCAGATTATGAAGAAAAAATACTAGCATTTCATAGGTTTGTTATAAATGCATGCAAGAAAACTTCTTTTGAGCTCGGTCAAATAGGAAATATGGATGAATTCCACTCACATTTGATGTACCATCCAACAAGACTGTGAGTATTAAAGGGTCTAAATCAATAACCATAAAAACCACAGGTCATGAAAAACCCTGATATACGGTAGTTCTAACATGTTGTGCTGATGGCAGAAAACTACCGCCATTTTTCATATTCAAAAGAAAAACTCATCCGAAAGAAAAATTTCCAACGGGTGTAATTGTTCATGTTCATCCGAAAGGCTGAATGGACGAAGCTGGAATGAACTGTGGTTACAGAATGTATGGACGAGGCGATCTGGTGGACTCTTAAGAAAACCCTCTCTTTTGGTTTTGGATCAGCTAGTTAACTGAAACCATAAAGAATAAAGCGAGAGAATTAAAAACCCAGATAGCTGTCATTCCTGGTGGACTGACTAGCCAATTGCAGCATTTAGATGTATCCGTGAATAAGCCATTTAAGGAAAAAGTGCGAGAATAATGGAACAAGTGGATAGGAGAGCCACATCACGCCCTCAGACCTTCAGTTAGAATGAAGCGGCCTCTATTTCACAGATCTTGGGAGGACATAAAGGCTGAAGTAATTGTTAAGTCCTTTAAGAAGTGCGGAATCAGTAATGCTCTTGACGGAACAGAAGACAATGTATTATTCGAAGAAGGTGATACTAGCGATGACGGAAACAGTCGTGATGACGATATTCTCGTTTTCGATGATTATGATAGTAAAAAGGATTTTTATGGTTTTGAAAGTGATTAAAGTCTAATTTCATGATAGGCAACGTTTTCCTTGAATCTGTGTTTTTTGTTGTTTCTGCTTTATTTTGTATTATGTTTGATTGCTTGCCATTCATTCATTTATTCATTATTGAAATTTACATATCATGTTCAAAATAGCTTGCCATTTGTTAATTTTCCTTAATAAAAATATGTTTGGTAATTTCATTCAATGATTGATTATTTGGCTTTTATGAAACATGAGAACTAAAAGAAGCTACATTTTAAGTTATTGTGGTACCGTGCTGTCATGCGGACTATTGAAAATTTTTTTCCTTGTGTGTGGTCTTCTAAATAAGGGTGCGTCTTATATGCCGTCAAATACGGTATTTCAGATTGGAAGAGAAGCGTAGCAATTTAAGTAAAAAGGCAA